CACAGGCTCCGGCAAGCGCAAAGGCCGCGGCTACACAAAATCTGAGGCCTACGAGGATTTGAGAGCACTCCTCGCCAAACATCCTGAAGGACTTGCAGGCAGTCGTCTTCCAGAAGCATTCCTGGAGCTTCATGGCCGTCAACTGAGACCCAAGGCTTTGGGCTTCAATTCGTGGAGGCGGCTCCTAGAGACTTGCCCGGGCGTCAAAGTTCTTGGAGCAGCCGGTCAAGATATGATCGCTTGCCTCAAGGAGCCTCTGCCTTCATGCCTGAGCCCACCTGCAGCTGCTCCAAGTCATGGAATGCCAGCGCTCAAGCCGGACTTTGGCCCTGTTTGGCTGAAACCGAGCGCAATCTTCTTTACACACGACAGTATCGCAAAACGTTTCAAAGACGGACGGCTGGTCAAGGAGACTCTGCGTCAGCTGCGAAGCAAGGAGATTGAGCCCTCCATCATACCAGTGATTGAAGTCTGTCACCATGCTGCGCTAGGCTGCAGCAGTCGGTTTTGGACCTATACTGGCAATCGCCGACTTTGGGTGTTCAGACAGCTAGAAGATGAGGGCTTCATAGACGAGATTGAGATGCTGTTTGTGGACAAGATGGTTCCCAGTTTCCGCATGACCACCAAGAATGGTGGCAAGTCGGTCCGAGTTCGTGGAGAGTAAGTCCAGGAATGTTGCGGCTATTTCACGCATCGCCAATGAGCCACGATCTACAGGTCAGCGTGTGCCTCTTTCGCTTCCGGATTCCGTTAGCTTGATGTGAAGTGTTTGATACCCCACTCAGGCGCAGCTTGGCGCTGAGTGATGCTGGGTGTAATTATGTATTGCAAAGAGTGGGCTTCTTATTTCGCTTGTTTTGTTGCAGTCACACTAACCTACCTATGCCAGATGGTCTCGCATGGCGGGACGAACCCAAACCATGTCATTGCCTTTAGGGTGATGGTGGAGCATGGTGGAGCACGGGGCAAGGTGTGGCTAAGCCAACACTGCCCTCACATGCTGAATAGTAGTTTCCATTTTCTCTTCGATTATCCCAACATATCCCTAACATTACCCCTATGTGTCCCCTATATATAACCCCAAGAGGCCCTGAACCTGGTGTGTAGGATTTCAGCCTTTCCTGTGGCCGTGCTCTTAGTGAGGCGCTTGTTGCCACATGCAGGTGAGTTAAGGCATCGCGGTGACCCAAACCGCTTGCTATCTGCAGATGAGGAAAGCCTGGAAAAGGATATGCACTACTGCCTCCCTAGCCTGTCAAGAATAGCAACGTATAGTGCTTTGAAATCTTGAATCCCGACGCTTGAATGTTGGTTTCGTAGCACTTGGGCGAAAACCCTCTGTTCCAAGGCCGTACGACGACTGCAAGCCTCGAACCACAACAGTCTGCTCTGTTGGGGGTTTCCCTGCCAGTCAGAGCTACTACACGGCGCTCAGCTAAGTTGCATCCATAGGGTAACAGGTAAAATATAGCATGTTGGGATTATGTAGGGATACTGGAAAGGAAAATGGAAACTACGGTAGTATGCTGGGAATATAATGGGGCTATATAGGGATAATGGAAAAGAATATTGGGGTTATATAGGGATAATGGAAAAGAAAATGGACACTACTATTAGTATATTCGGGTTATATAGGGATAATGGAAAAGAAATGGAAACTACTATTCATGTATTGGGGTTGTATGGGGATACTGGAAAAGAATATGCAAACTACTATTAGTATATTGGCGTTATATGGGGATATATAGCTATGATAAATTTGTCCCCACGATGCATCCGCACTCTCAACAAGAAGGCCGGAGCCTTATCTTTGAAAGCTGAAGAGCCTCTGTATCCCTATAATGCCAATTTACTAATAGTGATTTCCATTTTCCATTCCATTATTCTTATATAACCCCAAAATACTAATAGTAGTTTCCATGTTCTTTTCCATTATCGCTAGATAACCCCAATACTAAAGTAGTTTCTATTTTCCACTATCCCTATATAACCCTAATATACTAATAGCAGTTTCCATTTTCTTTTCCATTATCTCTAAATAACCTCAATATTCTATATCATGCCCTATACATCCCTAATCAATTTGATCATTCTGATTCTTCTGCCTCCCTGGCAAGGTCCCTAAACCCCAAACCCTAAATCCTAAACCCTAAATCCTAAACCCTAAATCCTAAACCCTAAACCAAGGTGCGAATGAAGGAGCGCTGTACCGACCCCATGGCAGACAGTCCTTGGGTCGAGTGGCCTACATTCGTCCTGACGCTGGGTTGCTGTTAAGAAATTTAAATTAAGTTACCATAATGGGTATATAGGGTTTAAGGTTTAGGGTTTAGGATATAGGGTTTAGGGTTTAGGGCTTTGAGCTTAGGAACTTTAATTAAGTTGCCATAATGGGTATATATAGCAAATAACAGGGTTTCCCCAATATAGTAACTTAATTTAAGTTCCTTAACAGCAACCCAGGACGTGGCCGGAGCCAGCACAGATACCAACAAACTTCACCGCAGTAGAGCTTACTGCTTACAACATGCCAGGGACTCATCTTGCAGCATTTTTGGACGCGTGCGCTGAAGAGCCTATATATCCCTATATAACCCCAATATACTATAGTAGTTTCCATTTAAACCTCAATATACTATAGTAGTTTCCATTAAAACCCGAATATATTATATTATACCCTATACATCCTTTTTTCGTTTGCTCAAGGACTTTCACGTTCGAGCCGGGACTGGGCTTGGACTGCACTTGGTCAGCCTGGGAGGTGCCACTTGTACATGCTCAGGGCAGATTCATGATATAGTATACATAGGGATATGTCGGGTATAATATAGTATATCGGGGTTTAGGTTTTAGTGTGTATAGGGTGTAATATAGTATATTGAGGTTATACTGTAATGGTTGTGAATGCGAATTGCAAAGAAGGATCATATCATGCGCCAATCCGAAACCTTAGATAGTAGTTTCCATTTTCTTTCCAGTACCCCTAGATACCCCCTATATAACCACAATATGAAGCCCATATATACCCCTATACAACCCCTACACAACCCCTAGATTCAAGCTGGAATGGCTCCAGCACTGTAACGCGTAAAGATGTTGGCAAGACCATAGGTGCAGATTCTACAAGGAGATGGCGGCCCGTCGGATGCTTAGACTGCGGTACAGTCTGTTGCAGGCAAGAGGTCTGCGTGCGTGAGAGCCGATTGACATGACTGACATGGAAATACTGGACTATGCAGCCGTTTCCAGACGTTTTTTACACAGCAGCCGTGTCATTTTGGTACCACGTGGCGCAGCCATGTCGATAGTTCCTAGCTCTGCCGTCACCCTTGCGGGAGCAGAGCAAGCAATTCGTGCTGGAATAGCCGCTGCAGAGAAGTCAGGCATTGGTCGGACGTTTTGATGTCAAATGCTAAGGTCCTAGATCTGTAGAAGCTGCCATGAGTCGCATTCAGTCTTGATTTCACTTTGAATCGGCCCTGTTGGTACAGGTTGGAAGGTGGCCGTTGCAATCTGTGATGCTGGCGGAAATCTGATTGCACTGCATCGCATGGACGGCTGCATGCCGATTGGTGCCGAGATCGCGACAGAGAAGGCTCGGTCTGCCATTCTCTTCGCACGAGATTCTTGGTTGTCTGAAGCTTGTTTACTTCCCTGTAAGTACTATGCAAAAATCTGCAGCCTTTTCCCTGTAAGTCTTCTGCAAATACATAGCCAAGGAGACCAAAATGTTAGAGGCAGCCGTCAATGGAGAGAAGTCCAACGGTGGAGAACGTGCTGCCCTGCTCTCGTCTGGCCGAGTACTCATGGAAGGTGGGGAGTTATAGGGGTTATATAGGGGTAATATACGGGTTATATAGGGGGATATATGGTTAAGGGTTTCCCAAAATTCGTGGTACGTTATTGGGGGTCCCTATAATAAGGACTCTAGTATTTGGGGGTCTATATTGGGGTCCCCTTATTTAGTGAAACTACCAGGTGGAGTGCCCATCATTGACCCCAGCCACGGCCGGATCATCGGTGCTTGCGGCGTTTCTGGAGTGAAGCCTAATGAAGATGCAGCAGTTGCCAAAGCTGCAGCAGAAAGCCTGGTGCCAGCCTCCAAACTTTAAAGACACCAGCCTGCCAAGATTTTCCAAGCAAGGTGTCGCAATTGCACGAGTGCATGGCGACAGCTTAGCAAGCATGTGCAAGCGAAACCGCATCATGTTTGCCAGCACAGTTTCTCGCTGCCTATGGTACCGGCAGTCTTAGTAATTTAGATATAGGAATAGAAATAATGGCAGTTATAGTAGTATTAAGACAACTGGTAATAAGTTATGACTATCAATAATGGTGTATGAAGATGCGCCCTGCCTTCTAGCTACAAGGCTCGCCACGGACTGGATGGATTTGGCAGAGTGCTACCTACCCTTCCGTGAGAATGCCCGTTTCTCAGCCTCGCAACATGCTGAGGCTTTGGGCAAATGTTCATCAAAGGCTGCGTTTCTAGGTAGGTGTTTCTTACTGGTTCTTGGTAGGGAATACGAGAATATAATTCCCCTATAATCCCTGTATAATGTAATCTCATATTCCCAATTATCCCCAATATATACCCCATTATGATGTAGTAGTCTCCATTCTCTTTTCCATCATCCCTATAACCCCTATTTAACATATTCCCATATTCCGCTACGAACTCCCAATAAGGCTTTTGCACATGGATGTCCAATGATTGCTGCTGCAGGTCACCTGCAGTGTCACGGGCCTGCAGAGCTTCACGGTGTATCAGGCCCTGTATGTAATCATTACAGTAGTCCTGTATAAAGTCCCCTTATACAACCCCCTTAAAGGAGTTCAGACTACAGCTCAGATAACATCTTATCCATTCAGCTTTTGAGTGTCTGACGGAACTGGTCCAATGCTTTGATCCTTCACTGCAGGTGCGCGTGAGGGAGAGGTGCACGGACTTCATCTACGACAGTGACTGGGGCTATTCGGATCCGATCAAGACCACCATGCCGGTACAAGCCGGTCCACCAGTTGCCTGGGCCTTTATGAGGGTTGCTTCGCCTGTGTTGTTGCCCACTTTCACGTGACTTTTGTGAGGATATGCTTGTCCTTCCGAACTCCATCACAGCCTTCTTCTTCGATGTGGCGTGGAAGGTATCAGTGCGAAAGCACATTACTAGCCTGAAAGCACAAGTCAAGGAATCCCACCCCAACCGCAAAGCACTAATAGTGGTTTCCATTTTCTTTTCCATTCTTCCTATATAACCCCAATATGTTAATAGTGGTTTCCATCTTCTTTTCAATTATCCCTATACAACCCCAATATTCTAAAAGCTTATTCTTATAAGCTTCAACCCTGGTACCTTTGCTTTGAAGGCGGGGGTCAGCGGGCAATGCATATTCAAGGAGTGGGTGCGGGCACCCAGGCGTGTTGTGCACTGATTGTTAGGAGGTGTAGAAAAGCCCATGGTAGACCCTAAACTCTAGACCCTAAACCCTAAATCCTAAAACCCACAATGAAGTCATGGATCTGCATTTCTGGAGCATGGCAGCCGTTCACGCTTTGCTTGAGATCAGCCCCCTAAGCCGTATCCCCTTAAATATACAGAACGCCTATATATACCCCTAAATTTATAATACCCCATATATATATATATACACACCATATATACCCCTATAGCATATATATATATATACTCCTACATATACCCTTATATACATGTATATAGGGGTATATACATGCATATATTTACACATAAATTCATTACCCCTATATCAAACCAGTAAGTTGAGGTCATGGAGGTGTACCAAGCCTCGGAAGATCCAGACGACTGGGCCTTCGCACCTCTCCCTACCTTCCAGGACCCTGCCTTTACGCATGTATACACTACTCTTTACTACTAGTATTACTACGAATATCATTGTTACTACTAGTATCATGAACTTTTTTGTTCTTCGCTTTTTTGTTTTTTGCTGGAGATTACTAATATTTTCATATTCCTACTATGCTTATTGTTGTTATTATTCCTGCTATTATTACTACTCTTACTATTGTTGTTATTGCCCCGCCGGAGCGTCAACGTGCAACAAATGCATACTTGGCCGACCTCTTCGGATGTGGCCTGCGTAGCACAAACCACATATTCGAAGTGTTTCGAGGGCCGAAAATACTGCGCCTACCACGCATTGCGTTTTTCATTCAGCGAAACGGATCAGCGAGGGAGATCAATGTGCATCCGCTTTCCACACCACAGCAGCCGCGCCCAGACCATAACATAATGCTTTGACTGCATTTGAATACGAGAGCTCCTCAGTCAAAGGGCGCGAGGTCCAAGCTACGTCCCATTCGTCCAAGATTCGTCCCATTAGTCTGATGGTGTGAGGAATTCTGGTTTCATTTTGTCATCGCCCCATTAGTCCAAGGTTCGTCCCATTAGTCCGAGCTATGCCCCACTAGTCCAGGGGTGCGCGGAGTTCTGTACACTTGCAAAGACAAGGGCTGGCTCTTTCCGTGAAAAAACTGGGGCGAGCTCCATGTCTTGCTCTGCAAACCCACATTTCTCAAAGTCCTGGCTGTCCGGATGCCCTGCAAAGCGTTTCGGCGCTGAAATATTGCATTTTTTAGGGGTTATTTTCATGTAGCGCTGCGCGCAGATGATTCGGCGCGCGTTTACGCTCCGGCCGACCGTTGTTATTGTTGTTACTCCTACTATTCCTACTATTTTTATGATCATTAGAATAGTCGTTATTGTTCCAGGACCCTGCCTTTGCTTGGGCAGCTTCCTCAGTCCGAGTGCCAGGCAAAGCCTAAAGGCTTCCATGAATGCAGGCACAAGGCCCCAAAGTCCCAACACGAAAAACCGATGAAAGCCTAAACCCTAAACCCTTAACCCTAAGCCCGAAACCCTCAACCCTACAACCTAAACCCTGAACACAAAGCTTGGGTGTGAGTTGCCCAAGCTATGAGGCCCCCATCATCATGTGGCCTGGAATGTTTAGGGGGCCTCAAAGAGGGACCCACATGTTTGACAACTCATAAACCCTATTATTTAGGGTTTATATTGGGATAATGGAGAAGAAAATGGAAACTACTATATAACAATGGGGTATATATACTATAATGGTGTATATATACATATTATAATGAGTGTTGTAAACCCTAAACCCTGAAAGCCCAACACTCAGGTGCGCCATGCCTGTGGTGCGACACGAGATTCACCGATCTGCCGGCCAGGTGCAGTAGTTCTGCCGGTGCTAAAAGGGGGAGTATATGGGGATCATATAGGGTTATGATGGAGTGAATATAGGGTTTAGGGCTTAGGGTTTAGGGGTTAGGGACTAACCTTTGGTTTGCAGGGACCCCTAAATCCCTAAACCCTAAACCCTAAACCCCAAATAGTATTCACAGCTTCAAGACTTCAACGTTGACTCATAAGAACTTGGAACCCTGAGGTGACTTGCCTCGCACGCCGGGTCCTTGGAAGATCTCGTCCTTGCATCTAGGGCTTAGCATCCCCCTGTTAATAGGGTTTAGGGTTTAGGGATTAGGGTTTAGGGTTTAGGGTTAAGGAACTCAATTTAAGACTATATTGGGGTATAACATACTGTAAAAGAACATGGACAATTAAATGAAGACTGGGCTTATGGGATTTCATTTTTAGGTCTTAGGATAGCCATTTTCTAGAAGAGCTCATTGGGATAAGACCCTGCCGGTGAACTGCGCAGCTATTGGAAACCATGAGGCTTGATATGGGTCCCCCAATACCAGCCCATACCCACACCCTCATTCCCAAGGGGACCCTATCAACACCTTGTCTAGACAAAAGCCAACTGTAAATGCTGCTATAAAAGTAGTTTCCATTTTCTTTTCCATTATCCCTATATACACCCTATATGATCGCTATATATAATCCCTATATAATCCCTATATATTACCTATAATTCCTGTAGTCTCCAATTTCTTTTTCATTTCTTCATTCCTCTGCTAGCAGCCAGCAAGTTCATGGGCAGGGCCACTGGCAGGGCCTGCTGTTGTTGATGACTTGGAAGTGATTCCCACTGTAGATATGTGTGGATCTTTGTTGCAGTGACAGCTGCTGCGTACTTGCACAGTCTGCCACGAATACGTGGCCCGAGACCATGCTTCATCTTCCTTTGGCGTTGTGAGTTGTGGTAGTCGCGAACGATTCAGCACTGCCTGCGCCTACGCTTACACTTCTAGCGGGACATCCTTGGCAGAGAGTGTGCCTGAGGCTAAAGCAAAACTCCACGTATGCGGTGCGCGTGAAGGTGACCTGGTATAGCAAAAAATCAGCATGCAACTCTGTACAACTGAGTCCAAAGTTGGGGAGCCTATCAATCCACAAGAGGAAAGTCCAAATGTGGTTCCAGGTTTTGGGATCAGAGATGGCTGGTTTGTAGATGTGGCGCCTCCTCATAGGTCTGCCATTGGACTTCGGCTGTGCAAGCTATTTACATTGCTACAGCAGGAGACCTGCACCGACCCAAACGCCAATGGAGAGTTCACCCTGCTCCAGGAAAATGCCACTGCCTCGGCTGCTGCATGATAAGGAACAACCTGCTTGTGTTTCCTCGCAGCAGAGAGGCCTGTTTGTGGTGGACATGGCAAGGTAACCACCACCATGGCTACGGTTCCAGCAGATGCACCGGAGAACCTCACTGTGAGCAACGAGACAGCGTCAGACTCAGCTGACTTCTTCTTGATTTGCCAGCTGCTTCAACCGTACGTTTTGGGGTAGTCTGTCTGTCCTGTTGTCTTGCTTGCAGGCATACACCTTTCTGCTCGAGTTCGACGCCGGCGAGCCATATGTGGGCGCCTTACTGCATAGCAGCAAGCCAAGCAAGCATGAACGACTTTGAAGAAATGACAGGAAATCACAACATGCACGCTCCATTTGCTGATCCCTACACCCCAAACCCCTGTGTCGTACTCCAAGACAGTGGGGGTGCAAACAGACGGCTAACCTTTCACCGGCGTCTGGCCTGTGCACATTCGTGCAGACGTAAAAGTCCCCACGGTCTTAACAAAGCCTAAACCCTACACCCTAAACCCCTGTGTCTTGCGGTCGCTTCGCAAAGTTCCTGGCTGGCAAGGACTGTTACTTCACTGGCTGGGCTGTGGAGGTGGGAAGAGGTTTATGGTCAGGATGGTGGGACTTTGGCTTACTGGTGGTTAGTAGGGAATAAGGGTATATAGATAGGGTTTTGTGTTAATTAGTAGGGAATAAGGGTATATGAATAGGGTTTAGGGTTTAGGGTTAGTAGGGAATAAGGGAATATAATCCCAATATACTCCCCGTATAATATGTTCCCTTATTCCCTACTATCCACCAGTAAGTTGGTTTTTCGGTTCTCGGACAAGCAGATGTTTCTCTGTCAGGTGAGAGAGAACTGGACCGATGGCAACTTCAGCAATGAGACAAACTACACAGCCGCTGTGTCTGCTTTTCAAGGGATAATGGAAACTAAAATGGAAACTACTGTAATGTTGGGGTTATGTAGGGGTACTGGAAAAGAAAATGGAAACTACTTTATTTAGGATTTTAGGGCTTAGGGTTCAGGGCTTAATATCCCTATAATTCCTTTCAAGGGACATAATATCCCCACAGCCCTCTTGAAGGGACCTTCTATCCCTACAACTCCCTTATATGGAAGCCTCTTGAGTTCTCAGTCAGGAGCTGAACTACTCTCTGTGGGTACCGCGCGATGAGTGCAAGAACGAGGAGCCGGCAGCATGAAAGGGGGGGGGCATGCGCATGCAGTTGCAAAGGAGGGTTTGTTTCTCAATCTCAGCAGATGACTGGGCAACCAAACTCATTCACCATCAATGCATTGACGGGGCTCCCTCGGATGCACTGGTTAGCGGCAATTTCTGGAAGGCTTCCGGACTATTCTTAAATACTTTCTTGCGTATCCACAAGGAACTTTGGGTAGACTTGCTGTTGCGATTTGCAGGAAGCATTTCCGCGAAACCGGATGCGTCCGGCTCTTGGCAGAGTGCGAGCTGCCAAAATCAGATGCCGCCTAATGGCCCTTGTCCTTGTTTGGTCAGGTTGCGTTGTTCCCAGACTGCGAAAGCATTCGGTTTACGATGCGAAGGCCCCCCAGCTGAAATAGCAAGTATTCATCTCTGTGATGCTACAGTCTACAAGGTGGCAGTTTGGGGTTTAGGGGTTTGGGGTTTAGGGTTTAGGGTTTAGGATTTAGGGTTTAGGGTTTAGGACATAGGGTTTAGGGTTTAGGATTTAGGGTTTGGGGGGGAGCAGCATCCCACTGTGTTGCAAAGTGATGGCCAATCCCGTGAAAGCAGGCAACAATGCGCTCTTGTCAGCACAATATCTCCTCAGGGTTTAGGGTTTAGGGTTGGGGGTTTAGCGTTTTGGGTTTAGGGTTTTGGGGGTTTAGGTTTTTGGGTTATGGCATAACCCTTCTTGGCAAGTTTCTAACTAAGCACAATCTCATTTGTGTGAGAGCTTTGAAGCACGATCTCAATACTTCTGGGAGCACCTGGCAGCACAATCTCAATACCTTACTGGTGGTTACCAAGGAATGAGGGAATGCAATCCTTACATAATCCCTACAGAACAAGTTCCCTTACTCCCTGGTAACCCTAAACCCTGAATCCTAAAACCCTAGAATCCTCCCAAACCCTAAACTATGTATATATATATATATTATACTTATACATTTTTATATGCATATTATATTCCCTTATGCCCTACTAACCCCCAGTAAGATAAACCCTACACCCCAAACCCTAAACCCTATACCCTAAACCCCAAACCCTAAACCCTAAACCCTAAACCCTAAACCCCAAACCCTAAACCCTAAACCGGTAGGTGCGTGAAACCTGCTACGACGGCTACACCACAGCCCTGGACAGCGACTTTAGCTCGGAGTTGCCCGATCGGCAGGCGAAAGCCCAACTCTGGACATTGGGGTTTTAGGGTTTAGGGGTTTTGGGGTTTAGGGGTCTTAGAGTTTAGGGGGTTTTGGGGTTTGGGGGTTTTAGGATTTAAGGGTTTTAGGGTTTAGGGGGTTTTAGGGTGTAGGGGTTTTAGGGTGTAGGGGTTTTAGGGTTTAGGGTTTAGGGTTCAACACACATGCTCTCTCAGTCGTGCATGGCGGATGCAGTGCGCTTTAGGGTCTGGGGTCTAGGGTTCAGGGGTCTTAGGATTCAGGGGGTTTCGGGTTTAGGGCTTAGGGTGTAGCATTACTAGTACTATTGCTGTGAGTATTGTCATTATTGCTCTTACCACCATTTTCTGGCTATTCCTATTATTCTATTCACGATTGTTAGGACTACTACTGTTACAACCATAGTTATGGTTATTGTTATTACAGGCATCATTATGGGCTTTACGATTATTACTATTACTACCACTACAATGTTTTTTACCGTTATTAACGTTATGATTATGACTGTTGATACTATTCTTGATTAGATGTTACTACCCCAAATCCTGCCTGTTCTCAGAAGGGATGAAGGATTTGAAAAGAAGAGGGGGGTGATCATATTATCGGGGGTTGTCATAGGGATCCCTTCCTCCATTCCCTGATAGTGATCAGTATACACTCGAAAAGCCAGGCCAATGTTTTGCTTGGTTCAACATTTGGAACGGTGCTGAGAGCAGAATTCCCGTCTTTCCGCGCAGTCTGTTCAGAACTTCTGCAGACAGTCTAGAATGGAGAACCCAATCTGCTTTTTGCGGATATACCCTAAACCCTAAACCCCCACCTGCCTACGTGGGCTTTCCATGCAGTTGGAAAAGGGTGTGGTAAAAAAAACCCAAACAGGCAAAGACATCACATGTTGACTGCTGACAAGTCTTGCCTGGACCTTTTCCCACAGCAACGAACAATCTGTTTTTTGCAGATTCTCTAGGCTTTCAAGCTAGCAGGCTTTCTGGAAAAGAAGTGGTAGATTCCTTAAATAGGGGGACCCAATATAGACCCCAAAATACAATTCTCCTTATTATGGAGATCCACAATACCCTAACCCCTAACCCCTACATTCTGGGAAACCCTCAAGTTGCAAATTTTGTGCATTGCTCAGATTTTGGTCAGTCTCAGGTCTTATCTCAGAGGGTTCCAAGGTGGCTCTAGGGTCAGGGTTTAGGGTTTAGCGTTTAGGGCTGCATACCTTGAGTCTAAGGTTAGAAGTATGGGCCCCTGATATGGGCCCTCAGGCTTTTTAGGGGGATTCCAGGGACCCTCAAGGGTACATGTGGGGTATATAGTAGGTATATGAGGATCCCAGGGTTAAGGGCCCATACTAGGGGCTCATGGTTTCAACCTTAGATTGAGGCTTTCAGAAAGCTTGATCTTCGCGAAAGTTGCCCTGCATACGCCGCAGCTCGAGTCTTCAGTAGCCTGCGTGCCTCTCGTGCCTCCCAGCTTACATATATAATATGTAATTTCATATGGTCAGAAGATGATGGGTTTTTCATATGCGCTCTAAAGACTATCCAAGTTGCTTGCTCCAACAGCCCAGCTGATTTCACGCTTGCTGCGTACTAGTCTGGCTACTTCAGCTCATGGCGTGGAATGTTGCGTGCCGCAACTTCGCTGGGCAGATGGCTGGCAGTCTGTACCTCCATCAGACACTGTGCGGTTTCAGTGTCTTTCAAAGCTCTGCATCTGCAACAGGATGTGCTGCTTGAAAACTTGACATGCCCCAGGATTGGCCCGTGCCGAGCATCCTTGCTGGGATTCCGGCAGGTGGACTCCGCAGCGCTGCTGTGCAAACCCACCCACTGGTGATGAAGATTGCTGGGCTGATGGCCTCAGCTTTGACCTTTGCTGTACTCGCTGGCTGCACCCACGGCTGCCAGAAGCCGCAGACAAACAGCTGCAGCTTGAGATACAGCTATGCATGAAAGACCCAGCACCTGATGTGCAGACGGGCGCTGAATGCAGGACGTCCGCATATGCAGCTCAGGAAGATCATCCTCTTGGTCGCCTTATCTGGTGTGCTGTCCGAAAGGGCCAAGTGTCTCGCGTCTTTGACATCTTTATTGGCTCTGGGTGCAGTGCCGCGACATCGGCGGCCGCTATGTCACTGCCAGAAGATGAGCGTCGACTTTCTTCCCAGCCGCGTGTTGTGACTTACTGGGGATTAGTACGGAATATGGGAATATTTTATACAGGGGGTATAGAGGGATTACATTCCCTTGTTGCCTACTAACCCTAAACCCTAAACTCTAAACCCTAAACCCTAACCCCTGAACCCTATTTATATTCTCTTAATCCCTGCTAACCACCAGTAAGGTGATGGGTTTTGAGGATCCGGAGCCGCTTCGAGCACGGAGGGCTCGCGCTGCACTGGCCAGATGGCGGCCCAGGCGGCTCCCGGTCTGGTCCAGAGCAACTTACCGGCAGTTTAGGAAGCAATAAGGGAATGCTATATATGTATATATGTATGTATATATATATACTGTAGATAGATAGGATTGAGGGTTTAGGAGTTAGGGTGTCAGGGTTTTACGGTTGAGGGTTTAGGGTTCGTAGGTAATCAGCGAATACATTATATAGGAATTTTGTAGGGAGTGTATTCCCATATTCCTTACTCAGAACAAATAAGGCAAACTTGCGCGCGGCGAGTCTTCGCTTGCGGAGCCAGGTGGATGTGCAAGCGGTAGGCCAACCGGCCATCAGCATCTCGAATAGGGTTTAAGGTATAGGGTTTAGGGAAGAAGGCAGTATAATGCCCATATAATCCTATAAAATATATTCCTCCCCTGCTAATCCTAAACCCAAAACTACTAACCCCCAGTAAGGCATACTTGCAGGGCCACTGCGTCCCAACAACAGTGACTGCAAGCTTTGCTCGTCGACCTGGGCCCTGGACTGCCCCGAGC